CCAACCAATCCATTATAAAACATTTGAATTATTAGTCAATTTGGCAATGCATGGTGTGGACCTAAGGAAATCTTTACTAAGGAAATCTTTAAATCGTTCCTTCACAAGCTTCATAAAGTGATTCCACTTCAAACTGACAAAAAGATGTAATATCATTTCTAAGCTTAGCAGTTTTTTATTGTAGGAAATATTTAGATAATTTTTAGTGATAAGTCTCCCCAATTTGTGATAGATCCAGGTGTTAACGAGTTTAACCGCTTCTTAGTTTTATCTCTTAATGGAAAAAGAAAAAGTCTAAATGTAAGTTTAACCACTGAAGACATCATTCGACGCTCAATCACATTTAAATATAGCACACAATTCTAGAAAAATAGCAAGATGTAAGTTAGGATCTTCAGATAGTGTTCTCCCAAACTGATTATTTTATACCATTTGCATAATAGCAGGTTTACGCTCAAATGAATTGGCAGCTACAGCAGGTTTTGTATACTCAAATGAATTTCATCTGTTGTATAATTAGCATAATCTCTTAAAGGTCTCTGATGATGTTCATTTTTATTTCCAGAATTATTTAAATTGCAAGCCATTTTGCTAAAATTGTCTATTTCTTTTTGTTGTTTTTTATTTTTTATAATTTTTCTTTCTAACTCTAAATTGTAAGATACGAAATTTTTAGATCTTAAACTACGCATAAGCAAACACAATAAGAAATTAAAATAAACAAACATACTAAAATATAAAAAATACTCAAATCAAACAACAATAAATTTTTCAGTTCAAATAAAACATTTTAACTTATAAAGTAATTATCGTTACTCGCCATCGGCGGAGCCAAAAACTTGATGCTGTTGTGTGTTTCTTTTGTAAATATTTTTCAATATTACAGAACAAAGACGACAGCACTAATAATAATTATGCAATTCAATCCCAATAAAAAATAATTTTAGTAAAAATAATTTTATCTTTTTAAATCTTTAAACTGTCAAGCTCGTAATAATAACGCAAGTATAAGTATCGCTACGCAAGTATAAGTATCGCTTAAGTAATAAAGGATTAATGGAGTCGTAAGTATCGATCCCACATGGAGTTGGAAATTCATATGGCTATAACGTAAAACACAAATTCAAACTACAAAACTTAAGTATGAAATTCAAATCTAAAATAATTGAGTGTATGCTAATTAAAATGCACTTAAATGAACTAAGTTAACTAAACTATTTGCTAAACTTCAAAAGTTATATATATATATATAATTGTATTGTGTCAAATAGAAGCAATTTTATTCTTTAGCCTCTTTCAAATGTATAAAGAATATTGACTAATCAAGAGTTTGGTCTCTAATTTCGTGGTTAGTTTGAGAGGATATCGGCTCTCACCCAGAGCTCATACTCCTCACTCGCCTGAGTCTCCCTCGCCTGAGTGCTAACAATCTCACATTAGTTTCCAATCAACTAGATAAAATTAAGAATTTTAAAATGTCACATTAAAATCTTCAATTCTGCATTCAACAAAGTATATTTCTCTATTTATTTGCACTCAACTTCATGGATTACATTCTCACCCAAGAAATTGAATTTAAATCTCACCATATTCTAGAAAACATAGCTCTTTCGGATCATATATTTCTTAACACATTTTAACATTTCAATTGACTAGATCAAAAAGTAAATGAAGATCGGAGTTCGAATCATCAGAAATTATTAACATTTAAAACCGTATAAAACAAAATCACATATTCACAAAATCATATTTCAGTGCAGGGAGAAGGATAAAGAAGACTACTCATAATTCATGAGAAGGAAACAACAAAACATTAATTTCATATATAAAAATAAGTTTACAAAACAAAAACATAAAAGACAATTTATCTCACACTCCTTCCCAAGTAAATCCTTAAAAGTTCCCTTTAAGCACTTTTCCTCTTTACAAGCACTCTCAACTCTCTCTTAGAAATGTAATGAAGAATAAATCTCTCGCTTTCCCTCTCCGCTTACAATCTTTAGAAGAATTTCTCCAAGTCCCTCACTCTATCTCACAGCTCACTCTTCTCTTTCGCGCCACTACCAAAACTCTCTCATTCGCCTCTCTTTTATAACCCTAGACTCCCTCTCTTTTTAATTAGGGGTTGCCTCCTTAAAAAAATAATTCAAAATTTCCTCCCAAATTGTCTACAAAAGTCACACCTTTTGAATCCCAAAAGAAATGTTCATTCATTCAAGAGACAAAGCCCTTCATTAAATAGCATTCCAAAGTGTTTAGATGCGTTGAATCACTCTATGGGGCGTTTGAAACATTTTAAGCCTTCAAAATCTGCTCAAAACTTGCCTCGAACTGCCTTAATCCATCAAGTATCGTCTCTGGCGCTTTTGGCATCTCATATACCAAGTTACTTCATTTCGCATTATTTTAGGTTCTGGAGCTTCGAGCGCTGCTTCTCTGTATAGGCACCAATTCTGGCATTTCAGGCGCCAGCTCTTTGTAAATTGGCTCCATAAAGTTCTCTATTTTGGCTCCAAATTTACTTATTTTTGCTACTTTTGCTCCAAATGCCTAAAAATGATATACCTGCAACAAAAACATGAAAATATCCTTCTTTAAAATGCAATATCACCAAAAATAAGTATAAAATGCATATTTAAAATAACACATTATTTTGGGGTATCAAGGTACTATTATAATATGTCACTTCGTATCTCGCATTTAGCGCACATTAGCAATGTCATCACTGCCCTTACCACCTGATCCTCAGACTTACACCAGTCTGATGATCCATATGTGGTCATACCAAATATCCCTAGTTACTCAAAAGAATTTAGACACTTTATCCAAAGCGCATACCCTTTAGCGTTGGGTTTTTAATATAGGACAAGTAGTGTCAGGGTATTTTATATTGATTTGTAAATTAACGAGTCCCAAGTCATAACTTGGTGGGTCCTTAGAAATTTCATATCAAATCAGTTGTTGGTATACTTTGAAGAAAATCTTCATCAACAAATCGTAGCAAACTCAGAGGTCCTTTAAGTTATCCAGAATCTTCAAAGAATGTCCAAAGGATAACTCTAAACAAGCTTGGAATCTCCTAAATCACTTTAATTTCAGTCTGATATCGCTAGACTGTTAATTACATAATCCAACTTAAACTAATGTCTTTAATCTGTGCTCAATATATATCTTGTTTAACCCATAAGTAGGCTAGGGGTTACTTATCTTGTTATGTTTGAGGTTTTGAATGGATGGTCACCCCAAGGATGAGCTCAATCATTTAAGTGAGCTAGTAGTGTTTAAGATAAGTTATATTCTTTATTTTTTAGTCTCTTTAGATGGTTTTAGATCAATCCTAGCTCAATATCAAGCTTTTAGATCTTTAATGTGTTTATTTTTAATTTTAAAAAGTTAAGAGCAATGAATTGGATTCTTTTTTAACAATTGAATTAAGCCTAACCATTGATCTAGGGCTTCAAACTAGTTAATTATTGTCCTTCTATTTCATGCCCCTCACATTAGAATCATCCAATGTACTCATCTTTCAAATTTTAATAATTCAATCAACTACAAATTTACCCTCTTATAGAAAATAGTGTGAATTGATTTTCACCTCTTATCCCTTTGTGTTTCAATCATCCTACGGAATCAACTATGATCAATATTACCCTTTCACCCTTTAGTTTAACCTATAATTGAAATTAGGGCTCAAAATTTCATATTTACAATTTTGCCCCTAAGGCTTTTTTACTTAATAATTACCTCAAATTTAATTCAAATGACTTTGAAACTTTGTTGGATTGTTATACATTGGTTAATTAAGACACCATTGCATATTTTGTATTTTTCCTATTTTTATTTTATTTTACATATTTTTTTAAATGAAAAGTATAGGAAAATGTATTTAATTACATAAAGTACATTTTATAATCCCAAAGAATTTATAGAAAAATCTTAAAGTTCTTTTCTTCAATTAGAAAGTAATTCATGAAATTTTGACACATTTAGGTATTTTTGTGATTTTTAATATTTTTAATCAATTTTAATTAAGAAAATAGGTTAAAAATAAACATTTTATTTTGACTTCAATTTTATTTTTTTTAAGTAGCTCTAGTCTTAAGGAACACCCCAAACTAATTTTATAATTTTTTAAGTTATATTTTAATTTTTATAATTATTTCATTTCAAATTTCTTATTTAGAAAATACATTTATATAATTAAAATAATTTTTATGGAGATTTCTTAAGGTCATTTCCTTCAATTTGGGTTATTTTGATGCTTTTTTGAGTTATTTTATATTTTTAGTATTTTTGATATTTTTCTTAATTTTAAAATGGAAAAATATACTTTAAATTTTTAAAATTTGATTTTGATTTTTTCTAAGTTTTACGAAACCAATTTTTGTAATTTTTTGACTTATAGTTTCATTTTTATAATTATTTTAAGCAAAATAAGGATACATATTTTCAAAATTAGGGTTTTCAATGTTACAAGTGTCCTCTAGACTGAAAAATCAAAGGACATCCCTAAGGATGTGAAGAATGAACTCTCCAAATTCCATATTTTTATGTTTAATATTTATTTTTTTATGATTTAAAGAAGCTTTAGAGCATTTAATTAATTTAAAAATAAATATAAAGCAAATATTTTTTATTTTTTTGTCCACATTGTTCTCATCTATTCATTGAGCACAAGGGTTTTTTTCTTTTATTTTTATTATTTTTTATATCAAGTTATGAATTTTTGATGTTTTTATAATTATTTAAATCAGAAAATACCCCTAATTTCCTACTTATCCACACGGCATCCACGCCAACCTTGACGTCTCTGAAGCGCCACTCGTCGTCCTGTGGTTGGCTACGCTTTACACCTTAGCCGCCAGGCGTGCCCGCTATTCATGCACCATACAATCGTCTAACTCCTCCGTCATCCGATCAATACACACCTGAACGGACGTCATCCGTTCATCGTCCCCGAACCGCTCAGAACCGCTCATTTTCTAACCATCTAACCATAAGATCTCGCTCGATACTCAACCAAATTAAGTGAGGTTTGTTCTGATAGCTTCATCAAAGTGAGACGAACACATCTATATGGCTAGATACATATGAAATACAAGTTTACTTAAGAATGTTTCAAATTGAGGGTAAATTTAGGGATTTCGATCTATACCTTTACCGAAGAGGTGAGACCCCAATTGGGTCTGTTCCTGAGCTTCGCCTTGAGTGCACGAATTTCCTCGAAGTGTTGCTTTGTTGTGTTGTTGGGTCTAGGTAGGAGTTCGATCAAAGGTTGGATCGGGTTTGGTCTAGGACTATGCTAGGATGCTCGGGAGAGGGGTTTTGATTGGGAAAGTCCCCGTGCACTCTTGTGAACCTCTTAGAGCAATCAATTTGGAGTTTTGGTGAACTTGATAGTATGGTCGTGAAATGTCCTGACTTTCAAGCTTAAAATCAGGACAATGCGGTGAGAATCGAGGCTAGAAAAAGGAGGGAATGATCTTCTCTAGGCTGTTAGATGATCTTCTCTTGACTGCATTGTCAGTTATGACTTAATGAGCGTCTATGGACTCCACTTCGAAGCTAGCAACCGATCCCAAGATAATTGCAACCAGATTGGCTCATTTCAGATGCTTGCTCCACAGATGCTTGCTCCACAAAAGAGTAGCCGCAGCCCCGTTGTTTGCTCCTGGTAGAGGCACTCCACCGTTCACAGGCTCCTGCATCCATTGGTAATCACAAAGCACCCCTTCCGGAAATCAACCTTGGACTATTTATTGGGTTTTAGGCTGCAAAATAACCCCATTACGTAAGCGAAAAACATTCCAAAAATAAAATGGGCCATTTTTGCACTCTCCATTCCAATATTCTAAATGCTGTAAAAATAAAACGAATCTGCAAGACACGAGTCTAGCAGTTTTCCTTCATTGTCTGGTTAACGGTAATCAACTACTTTCTAACTAAAGCTGATTCCTCTCTATAAAACTGATTTTTGATAATTCATGGGAACTGATATCAGTATGAGTACACAGCTCCAGAATCATTCCCCCTGCAAACCTCTTCAAAGTTAGTGAAGGACTCCTCCATTCCAACAAGATATTTCTCCATGCCTGATATTCGCTTGGCCAGATCGAGGCCCATCTTCATCCATTTTCTAGCAGTATTGACCTGCCGCAGCCGGACTGCTGTTCCTGACCTGTTCCATGCAGTCATTGCAAGCCATTTCCCTTCTTCAACAGGATATTCCCCCTCCTTTAATCCTACAATGATCTGATACGCTTGTCTGTATAAAGTATAGGCTGCTTCATTCTTCCCGCCATTTTCAGTTGAACACAGACAGGCAATGCTGATCAGCCATCGGAGGACCATGCTCACCATCTGATAGTCCGGAGTTGGCAATTCCAACAGACTTGAGAGACACTTCCTGAAGGCAAACTCCGATACCTCAGTGTTTGGCCTCCTACCTTGAGAGGCAAAAAGACCAATTTGGAGGAGGCTGTTAGGGTTGCACGCTTTCGTGGAGGCAAACCTCTTAACGAGTTGGAGTTGTTGGTTCCTAGTGTCATCGAGCCTGTTGAGGAGTTGATAGGTGTTGAAGGTATGGAGGAAGCACATAGTTGATGCTTCAACCATCCAATCACCCGTAACAGCTGTTGATAAATGCATTGTTGGTACCAACTGCAGATATTTACGAATGAATAGCAAAAATCAGAGTAAACAAGACACCGATATTTGGCAACTGTGCAGTCACAACGTTATGCAGGCAATAATAAGAAATAATGAGTGGTTTAAGTAAACGGTAAGTTTACATTTTTTTAAACACATTCATTTCAGCAATGATTGCATATCAACTGTTTAAAGTTAACGCTAATGCTATATTAACTGTCGAGAATGACAATAATTATAGGAAGATTTACATACATACCGCACCATTCTTATATATTTATAAATCTAAAATTTAAACTTTCAGATTTACACATAAAACACTCAAATTATTAATATCACAACTATTGAATCCAAAAATGTTTTGTGAATCACACCCACTATATAATAGAGTATTGGACGGAAAAGAGAAACAAAGAGAGAGAGATTGAGAAAGAGGAAGCACAGTACAAGAGTTTCTATGGAGTAAATTGAATAGGCCTTTTTGTAAAAGTGACCCCATATTTATAAGTTCAGGTATATATAGTAAAATTACATGTTTATCACTAATTTAATAGGAACGTTGCAAGTCATTACTACACTTTCATATTCGTACCCGACTCTGGGACCCTTTTGTATTCATAACATTGGCATTGTTTCATATTCAAAATGCTTGAAGCAGGCACTTAAAAGCCCATTAATCTTATCATTAGGTTGGCTTAAAGGTCATCGATTGGGAATCCTGAGTACATGTCCTCCTGTCGTTAGGGTGAACTTGGGCAATCAGGCAAAAAATGTATTACCGTAATCTGATAGATAGCTCTCCTTGGAGAAAAGGTCTTCTCAAAAAATCACAAAAGTGTTCCGCAGGGTATTCTTGGGCCATCATGGTGAAGAATTCCGGAATTGGCTTAGGGAGTTGGTCATAAACGATTGTTCCTCGGATTACATGTCGTCTATTCACTCGTTCGGTCGTGCTTCCGTTCGGTTGGTTCAAAGTTCCGACCCAAGGAAACAACGCTTGGTATTCCTACTTTTTGACTACCCAAATAAACAATTCTTTGGTGTTCATAAGCAAGACTTGTTAAATTTCCTCGAGATTCACGCGGACTTATTTTTTATGTGCATAATTAGTTCTTTGATTCCTTTACTGCTTCAAAGCGACGACAGTGATAAGAATAAGTGAATTAAATACAAAAATTGAATTATTTATTACGTAATAAATACTTTTAATATTTAAATTTCCTAAATTTTCATGCCTGCAGTCCGGGCATGATTATCACTTTTCCATCACTCTTTTTGAATTTCCTGCCTTTCATTCGATTGTTAGCATAAGAGAGTTATGGCGAGTAGCAATAAGTCATACATAAATGAGGTAGCCATGATGAAGGCCTTCAGACTTTCGACTAATAAATTCTAACCTCAAGGACATAGAGGAACAAGGAAAACTGGAGATTAGTCGTCTAGTAGTAAATAAGAAACCGATGGATGAGGACTGACAGACGATAGCAAAGAGGACTAAGAGAGAAGGTCACACGATACCAGCAAAGTGGCCAGGGGGAGGAGTCCGGTCGTACAACACAAAGAGACTGAAAAAAAGGGGCCGACCAGAGGAAGAGAAAAGGGTCAAATAGGATGCACATTAAAAACAAGGGGTAAAGGAACCGAGGAAGCGGGTAAGTCGTCCTATTTAATGTGGTTCTATTATGAGATGGGGAACGAGGTGGATGTGTACACCACTAGTGCAACGATCCATGCCCCGATGCCAATTCATGAATGGTCGGATCAACAACCAGTCCAGGAGATCATAAAGAACCGGGTCTAGCCACATGAGGGTGCACCTCCTTTTCCTTGCATTGGTGAGACTAGCAAGGCAGCTATCCAATAGCTTCTTGGTGAGAGCCTCCGATCATTTGAAATGGAGCAGATAATTGATATGGAAAACCCCAGTAGTTTTTGATTTGTTAGATTTGTTCATGATTTTTTGACAGTCAATTATTCTTAAAGAGGAGATAGTGCAGATTATCAACTCATCGATAATGGGAATCGGGGCCATCCCCCAATTCTAAAGACAGCAGAGGGATTGACTTCTTTGGCCCATGGTGGAGGTACCTCCAGGCATCCGTTTAGGCCTGAGGACGTGGAGAGGAAGACCGACGATCAACAAGGATCCAACCATCGATGGTTTGCCAGTTTGACAAAACAGTGTATTACTTAGCACGAGAAGCTGGCCTACAGAGGGAGATTGGCATAACAAACCTGAAGAAAGAACTGGGGACTCTTTCTCAGGATTATATAGTCGAGTTGTAGCTCTTCGAACAGGCATGGCGATTCTACGGAGAGGGAGATTGGCATAACAAACCTGAAGAAAGAACAGGGGACTCTTTCTCAGGATTATATAGTCGAGTTGATAGCTCTTCGAACAGGCATGGCGATTCTACGAACGGAGCAGATAGAGAAACGGAAGTATAGTTAGATCTCCTAGGTTTCAGCAGATGAAAAAAGAGTTGAGAAGTTTAAATTTTGGGGGCTTACCTTGTATCGGAGCCTTGTGAGTTAGGGTCTTGTATTAGCCAAGGCAGCCTAAAACCCTAGTATATAGCCTAAAATCCTAGTATATGACATCTCATATCATAAATAAAAATTAATTTTTTTAATTTAAAAAATTGTCATTTACTTTTCACAAATTTTGTGATGATTTGATAAGAATGCTCAGAGATCGAGATATGAATTTGAGGTGTTTTGAACTTCCCGTTTGCCCTATAAACAAGGGTCAAAGGAAAAATAGAGTTTGCGCTTTTCAAATCTCCCCTTTTTCCCTTCAATTGTTTCTTGTCCCACCTTTGGGTCGATTTACTTTGAACGTTTCCCATGCATTCCAAGTATTCTCCACAACTATTTGGTTTGGTGCCTGCGAGCAAAAAGACAACCCTTACGTCATTTGATGCAGATTTTCTATAAGACACTTGTGTATACAACACAAGTATAGTGCTCGAGGAGGTGGAGCCGAAGTCAAGTGCGACTGATCACTTTGGAGACAATTTGATCTTCTATCGAGATCAGTTTTGTTAGGGGCTTTGACTGTCATTGTCACGAGATTCGATCAATTCTCAACCACTACGGAATCATCCACACGCAAATACAGTCGAATTCAATTGTGAACGTGATGACTTCATCATCTACTTGTAGCAGATGGATATCCCATAGTCCCAAGAGTTGTCGTACATATTCTCTTTTAGAGTAGAGCCTGCCAACATGTCATATTTGGGTCGACTCGAAAGTTCCATCGGATCGATCTGAAGAACAAAATCAAAGATTGGAAGTTTTGATTCCTCTAGGGAATCTGTGAAGACTGATGATCACCACACGACCAACTTGAGTCGTGCAAGAAAACGAAGGGAGTCCTGCAACGAGTCTTGGGACATGTGTCGACTGCCGTGGGCAAACGCCTGTCAGTTATCCAATACACTAACCCCATGACAGTAAAACGGATGTTGAATCCCGCGCAATTCAGTTCCATAACCACCGAGTTATGGGCCAATTCAGATGAGGTGGAGGAGAAGAGGTAGATCGAGAAAGTTACGCGGCTTTCATAGAAAGAGCTGTGAAAGAAGAAGGGTACTGCTTCCAATGCCAGATTGGAAGTGGTCAACGAAGAGGACGATCAAGGGGTTGGGACAGTCCTAAGTTCTAAACTAATTCACTTTGTTTCTGAAACAATAGCTATCATTCAAAACATTGTTACCGGGGAATTAATCCTGATCGTATGAAAACCATCTTTAATGAACCAAGAAACTTCGAGGGATTGTCGCCAAGAAGAAAAAATACCAATCGTCATGGATTGGATGTAGAGGGGTCATCAGAGTGACCACCGCTCCAGGGAGCTCCTAGGTCATCTTCATGGGGTATCATTCCTCACTCAGAGAGGGGGGAGGCCAGTCGACTTTCTCTTCAGTCGCCAGTTCTGCTGGTGAAAAAGGCTAAAGTGGAAAGCATGGATGAAAGCCTGAACAGAGAAGAGTTTGAGCCGGAGTCTACTTTCAAGCGTGGGTCGGACATTTTTGAAGAACAATGTCGAAGGAAAGGGGCAAGGATCCGATCGATAATCTGACTCCTCCCTCCTTTTTCCTTCTAAGAAGAAACAAAATCGAGGCAAGGGCTGCTGGAGTGTGCTGCAGGATGAGCGGTCAAAAGTCTTCCGAAGCCATGACTCTAGCATTGCGCTGATAAACATGCTGAGGGACTAGAACCAGCAAGCTCCGAAAATCGATGAGCAAGCCTCAACCAACATTAACGTACTTTGGCCAAAGGGCTTACAGAAGTTCCTGAATACCTTTGGTCCAAAGAACTATTCCACATGGTCGATCGGTATCAACTGCTTAGACTCTTGACCACACATCATATGTTTTCTCTTTATATTCAAATAAAAATTAGAGCTTTGAAAGCTAAGTTTAGGCTAAAGAACTCAAGGCACAAGCGAGAGTAACAAAGGATCAGACAACCTTTGTTGAGACTTGGCTAGAGGAGGCCGAGCAGAGTCATAGATCGTGTCCGAGTGAGTATCTACTATTCAGGAAGGGAATGCAGAATGAAAAAGCAGGTGGCTCGATAAAGCCGCCCAAATAATTTTTTTACACGCAAGTACATCTAGAGACAGGTACAAAAGAGCTCATCGACCAATTCTTCAGAGTTGGGATGGTCTACCATAAGTACTCTGATTTCGATCAGTTTAAAAAACTTTTTCCTGGTCCTTAATCGTCGGCTCACAGAGAGGATTCTGAGAGCAATAATGTGGCAGATGATGAATCGTCTAACACTCGACCCGAACACTTCTAAACTTAGAATTTTTCTTTTACATGTAATTGAACCATTTTTGGATGTAGACAAAGAAGTTAGTTCATGACACTAATTTTAGAATAGGTCTAGGAATATAAGTATTATCAAAGGTACATGAATAGAATTAGTAAATATTATAGTTCGTAGAAAGATAAACATTATATGTATTCAAGAAATTGAATGGGTTGGAGAAAAGGCTA